TCTCTTGGGCTAATACTTTCCTTGTGTCTTTGGTGTTCTTCATTCTCCTTTACTCCAGGTGGTTGGGACCAATTGATTCATCTTAGATGGTTGCCTGCAAGCTTTTAAGACCCCAGATGCCACTCACCAAAGTAGGATGCAGAACATTTTAATAAGCTTTGTTATGCCAATTGACTTAGATGTCCCCTGAAAGCATGGTCCCCAGACCCTTACCCCTGCTACTCTGTCTCTCAAAGTGTTTGAATTGTATTCAGGAAACTTCTTAGATTTGGTTTAGTCCAGTTGTACTGACTTCCCCTGTAATACAACACATATTTTGGGGGGACACAATTCAATCCATAATACTCTCCCCTGGCCAAATCCTCTGCTCATCCTGTGGGTTTCTGCTTAGATATCACCTCCTCCAGGAAGCCTCCCTGGAACTCTAGGAGATAGACACTATTAGCTTCATTCTACAGATGAAGAAACTGAAGAACAAAGAGGTTAAGTGACTTGCCCCAAATCACATGGTGAGAAAGTAGGGAGTTGAGTTGGAAGCCAGTGCAGGCTGAATCCAGGGCTTTTCCTCTGTCACTACATCCTAAACCAGTGGTTCTCAAAGTGTGGCCCCCAAACCAACAGCAGCAGCATCACCTGGGACCTGTCAGAAATACAAATTCAGACCTCCTGAATCATAAACTCTGGGTGTAGGCTCAGCAATCTGTGTTTAAACAAGCCTTCTAAGGGATTCTGATGTACACTAACGTTTGAGAACCACTGGCCAAAAGAAATTTTTTTGCAGTTTTGCCACCAGCTTTTCAGCCACTTCCTGTGGAGTCCTTGCCAGCTCTAGAAAGCTTCACAGGTGAAGAACTCAACACTGTCCAGTCTCTGACTTGCTAGCCATTTGAAATGTTTCTCTGGAAAGTTCCACAGCCCTGGGACTTTTGCAGGGTGGGGGGACCTAGGACTGTTATCTTCTGCCTCATTGTCAGCATATGAGTGACTCACTCCTACCTCTGTTTGCAGCTGTCTTGCTTGTGCCCATCAGCCCTGGCTGCAAGAGTTTGATCCAGCAACACTAAGCTGCTTTCATCCCACGTGTAGACATGACTGTCAATACAACCACCTTCTTCTAGTAACGTTTTCAGTTCACTTGGGTAACAGCCAGCAGCTTCTTTGCCAGCAGAACCAATCTAATCTCCCCCTACACAAAACCTTTTTTTTTTTTTTTTTAGATCAGCGATTACTTTGATTAGAGACTTCTCAGTATTGACCTGGCCCTCCAATTTTTCTGCTCCAGCTTTAAGGATTGGACCAGAAATAATGAATCCTAGAGAATGAGGCTGAACAAACCATTGGTAAAGAGCTGTTGATCCCCAGTTTTCTTCCCTACTGCTCCCAGCGTCCTGACAACCAGAAGCCAATTCAGCCAGCAGAAGCCTAGACAAGGCTTCTTTGAGGAACCTGAAGAGTGCAAGACAAAAGGTTCAAAGGCACCCTTCCCCAGTGAAACAGCCTGGCCAGATCACCCAAGGGAAAGGCCACAGCCAGCAAACCCCACACACCTTCCAAAGAGCCTACTGATGCCCCGTTCTCGCAGACAGCCGAGAATCACCAGACAATTTGAGAAAGTACCTCACATGAAAGCCACACCAAAACAACCCAGCAGAAGAAAACAACTTGGAACAAGCTGAGAATCTACTAGAAGAAAACTTAAAAACAAACAAAAAACATTAGTATCCTTAGAGAGAGACGATATTTCACCCATTAAGCAAGAACAAGATGCTATTTTTTCAAACAACACAAAAGAGCACTTGGAAATTAGTTATATCTTTTACAGAAATGAAAGCCTTCATGGAAGATAAAGTTGAGAAACCTCCTAGGAAGTGGCTCACAAAGATAAAGAGGGGAGAAAAAACAGGAGATAAAAGATAAGAATACTAGAGGACCCGTCTAGGGGTCTAACATCTGAATATCAGTACAGAACAGAGGAAATGGAGGGGAGGAAATTTGTTTTTAAAAAATCTAGAACATTTCTCAGAACTGAAGGACAAGTCTTTCCAGTCAGAAAGAGCCCAAGTTCCTAGCACAACACATGCAGAGACCCACACTGAGAATCACTGCCCTGAAATTTCACAACACTGGGATACGGAGAAGATCCTAGAAGCTTCCAGAAGGAACAAACCAGTTTCATGCAAAGGTTTAAGAAACCACACAGCAATTCTTTACTCCTACTCTCTTAGGGAAGTTTCTAATATGGAGACCTCTGACCAGGGGAGTTTGCTATTTTCCATTCTTGAAATAATTCATTTTTCACTTTTTCTTGACAATAAAACCTTCTATTTGCAAGTTGATCTATTCATAGCTATATGTTATAGAAAATTTATTAAAAAAAAAAAACCCACTGCCCGCAAGTCGATTGTGACTCATAGCGATCCTATAGGACAGAGTAGAACTGTCCCCATAGGGTTTCCCAGGCTGTAATCATATCTTTCTCCTGCAGAGGCTGGTGGGTTCCAAGAGCCCACATTTTAGTTAGCAGTCAAGGGTTTAGACCACTGTGCCAACTAGCTGCTGTAACAAATTTTACTGGCTTCAAATAAAGATGATTTCTTGAATTCATGTACTCAAGAGGCTTTATTGTATTTGTTGAACTAATAAATGAACAAACGAATGTCAGGTGCTATGGAGCCCTGGCAGCACAGTGGTTAATTAAGAGCTCGGCTGCTAACCAAAAGGTCAGCAGTTGGAATCCACCAGCTGCTCCTTAGAAACCCTGTGGGGCAGTTCTACTCTGTCCTATAGGGTCACTATGAGTCGGAATCACTCAAAGGCAACGTTTTGTTTTGTTTTGTTTTGTTTTTTTAATGGAGGCCATAGAGAAGGAAGACACCAGCATACCTACTTCTCCAAACCCTACTTTCCCAAGCCCCACCTCCCTCCATTGGCATCCTTCCTGACTCAGCACAAACATCACCTCCTCCAGGAAGCCTTCCCTGATTACCCCCCCCCCCCACAGTGGGCTTTATTAGCTTCTAATTGCTTGCTCAGTATTCCAGTACTTAGTCCATCTTGTCTGTTAAGAGTCTGCTGTTTACACTGCTGCTCTTCAAGGCAGCTTCTAGGGATCTGGGGATCACTCTGGGCCTCAGTTTCCTCCTCTGTAAAATCAGAGGTGGATTATGTTACTCAGTTCCCTGTGACTCTACAACCTGTCCAGGAGTCTCTGCTATTAGTTGCCTCCCAGAGACCACAGCATTCACACACTCACTGTGTGCCAAGCACTATTCGAAGCACCTAACATATATTAACTCGCCTCCAACGACCGGAGAAGGTGGGTGCTAATGTTGCACCCATTTTGCAGATAAAGAAACCAAGGGCCAGAGAGGTTAAGCAACCCATCCAAGGCCACACAATCGATAAGTCAGAATTCAAAACCAAAACTTCAGCCTTTTCCAGCCCTTGACTATTTCCGTCCTGTTTTCCTGGCTAAGAGGACCCAAGGCAGGGAGCGCCCAGGGCCAAACTCAGAAGTCAGGCTCCTAGGGATCCCCACCTATGGCAGATCTCGCTCCTCTTCACCCCTTAGAGCAGCTTTTCCGTCACACGGGTCGCAGCTGGGCTGGTTCCCCGCCATTCCCACCCCCGCAGGCGCAGGCGGGTCTAGGCCGGGACATACCCCGGAGGCCCCCGCCCCAGCGCCGCCACTCTCATATCAATGCCCAGCCCCTTGGCGCACATGTCAGCTGCGCCTGCCAACACCCGAACACCCACTGCCAACAACGCAGAAAAGGCGCGTCTACACGGTCCTCGAGGCTCCGGGAATTCCGGCCGACGCAGGCCTATGGTTCAGAGGACACGGTGGGGGCTCTGGCTCCGGCCCAGCAAGAGAATGGAAAGCAGTGCGCCCACTCTCCGTGGGCCTCAGCGGCGCCCTGGGCGAAGGCCCCGGAGATCCCTCCTGCAGCCAGAACACTACCCATTGCGTGCCAGGAGCCTTCCTAGTCATGGAGATCGCCATTCATCTGCACGACTTTCCCATTTTACAGAAGCAAACACTGAGCCCCGAGAGTTGAACAACCTGAAGAGAAACGGTCCCACACTTCCCTCCCGCGCCGCCCCTGACCCGCTCCCAAGCTCCAGACCCACCGCGCTCGGGGCGCCGGCTACACGCGGCGGCCGCCCCCGGCCCACCTGGTCGTCGCGGCCGGCACCTACCTCGTTCGGGCGGAAAGGTTTGGGAGCCGCTACACACGGCCGCGAGGAGCCAGAGGAGTTGGCAGAGGCTCGCGGCAGGGCGCTCCAGGGTGCAGGACGGGCGGGCCCCCCGAAGGTGCCGGGGAGCGTCGAGCGGGGCGCGCGGGCCGGCGCTCCGGGGAGGCGGCGGGGGCCGCGCGGGGCGGATGCCTGGACCCCGGGGTGCTGGGGCCGCTGAAAGGATCCCGGGGCCCGAGGGGCGCGCGGGGCCGCTGGAACGATGCGGGCGGCAGAGGCCAAGGGCGTGAGAGCAGGCGACCGCGAGCGGGGCTGGAGCAGCGGCAGCGACCGGTGCGCGGGCGTCGATCCGGGAAGGAGTGAGCGGAGCTGGGGCTGCGGCTAGGGCCGGGGCAGGAACAGGCGGCGGGGCGGGGCTGCGGCCGGCCGCGCGCACGTGGCCGCCTCCCGGTGGCGGTCCCAGCTGCTGCAGCCGCCGCTCAGTTCTCTGGGTTTCTGCGCTCCTCCGAGCCTCTGGTGAAGTACTAGGTGCAGCGTCGGTGGCTCCTTCGCCGGCTGAGCACGCAGTGTGGGAATCTAATACGTGGAGCGATCCTAGTACCCGGCGGCGAGGGGGCACCCTCTCAAGTGGGTAATTCGAGAAGGGGTGCCCAACTGTGTAGTAGGGTAGGAAGATAGAAAACAAATTACTCCAGTAGTCTTTACTCCATACTGTTATAAACTGTGAGACACGCTATGAGCGAGAAGTGTAGGGGGCACTGAGAGGTTGTAAAGACGAACCCGCTTACTCCGGGGTTCAGGAAGGCTTCTCTGAGGAAGTGACGTTTGAATTGAGCTCTGTAAGAGAAGTAGGTGTCACCCCTAGTAACTTCACGAAGACGGGTCCCCTCAGTGGTCTCCGCAGGGAGATGTGGGGCAGGTCATACTTCATTATTTTGGTCCTTAATCATCCCCCTCACCGTCGCACAAAATGTTCAGACTCTGTTGAAGAGTTCAGGCAACAGAGAGGAATTAAACATAGGAGGGAAAAAATTAAAGTGCACCTCAGCACGACTGTTTCTAAGAAAGAAAATAAAACCCCTCAGGGAAGGCTCCTCATAGGCACATTGCCCCACCATCTGTTCCTTGGAAATCCTATGGGGCACTTCTACTTTGCCCTCTAAGGTCACTATGAGTCAGACTCGATGACAACGGATTTAGTTTTTGTTTTTTTTTTTTTAGGATGGCTATAATCAAATAGAAGAATTGACACCTTTGAATTATGGTATTGAAGAATATTGAATATGCCATGGACTGCCAAAAGAACGAACAAATCTGTCTTGGAAGAAGTACAGCCAGAATGCTTCTTAGAAGTAAGGATGGCAAGACTTCATCTAACATGCTTTGGACACGTTATCAGGAAGGATGAGTCCCTGAAGAAGGACATCATGCTTGGTAGAGGGTCAGCAAAAAAGAGAAAGACTTTCAACGAGGTTGATTGACACAGTGGTTGCAACAATAAGCTCAACCATAACGATGATTGTGAGAATGGCACAGGACCAGGCAGTGTTTCACTCTGTTGTACACGGGATTGCTATGAGTTGAAGCCAACTTAAAAGCACCTAGCGATAACATAATCAAATAGATAATAACAAGTGCTGGCGAAGCTGTAAAGAAACTGGAACCCTCACACATGGCTAGTGGGAATGTAAAATTGTGCAGCTGCTGTGGAAATGGTTTGTCAGTTCCTTAAAATGTTGAACATGTTGAACATGAAATTACTGTATGACCCAACAATTTTACTTGTTGGTATATACCCAAGAGAAATGAAAACATATAGCCACACAAAAATTTGTACACAAATGTTTATCGTAACATTATTTATGATAGACCCCCAAAAATGGAAACAACCCAAATATCCATAAACTGATGGAAGGATAAACAATTTGTGGTATATCCATATAATGGAATATTATCCAACCATAAAAAGAATGAAGTTCTTTGCAACCAATGTCATGAAACAATTTGTGCATAAATTTTTTGAAAGGGAAACTAATATGCTCTGTAAACTTTCATAAAGCACAATAAAATGTTTTAAAAAAGTTCTGATACAAGCTACAACATGGATGAAACTTGAAAACATTATGTTAAGTGAAAGAAGCCAGACACAAAAAATGCATGATTCCATTTATATGAAATCTACAGAATAAGCAAATCTATAGAGACAAAAAGTAGATTAGTGTTGCCTAGGGCTGAGGAAGGGAGGCTGGGGGTAATGGGGAGTGACTGCTAACGAATATAGGTTTCTTTTTGGGGTGATGAAATGTTCTGGAATTGATTGTGGTGCTGGTTGCACAACTCTGTGAATATACTAAAAACCATTTAATTATACACTTTAAATGGATGAATTGTGTGGTATGTGAGTTGTATCACAATAAAGCTGTTTAAAAAAAATTAACCTACAGAAGAACATTTCTCAAAGCCTGAGTTTTTCTGGTTCAAATAAAACCATAGCTGGGAGGACCAAAGACCCAAGGGAGCAATTGGTGCAGGGGACTGGTGGACCACATGAACCACAGCCTACACGACCCCAAGACCTGAAGAACTAGATGGTGCCCAGCTACCACTACAACCACTCTGACTGGGATCACAACAAAGGGGTCTGGACAGAGCAGGAGAAAAATTGCAGAATGAAAAATCAAATTCACAAAGAAGACCAGACTTACTGGTCTGATAGAGACTAGAGGAACCCCTGAGACTATGGCCCTATGACACCCTTCTGGACGGGAACTGAAGCCATTCCCAGAGACCACCGCACAGCCAAACCATAGACAGGCCCATACAATAAACAAGAACACCTGAGAGGAACGTGCTCCTTGGAACAAGCAATTACGGAAGATAGAAAGGGCAACATTTGCACAAGGGCAAAGATGAGAAGGCAGGAAGGGGTAGCAACTCAGGATGAAAGGAAATGGAGAACCTAGGATGGAAATGGGAGGAGTGCTGGCACATTGTGGGGAATGAAGTCAAAGTCATGGAACACTTTGCATACAAACTATCAAATGGGAAACTAATTTTCTCTGTAAACTTTCACCTCATGCACAATCAAAAATTTAAAAAATAACGCCATGGCTGGGGTCGAGTGGGAATGGGTTTCGGGGCACATTTGGGCCTGCCAAGTTCTGGTGCTTTCTGAGGTTTCTCCAAGAGGAAGACAGAGCCTCTCATTTTTTTCTGGTCTCCCAGGTGTAACTATTAGATCTCTCTCTTTCACACACACACACACACACACACACACACACACCTGCCTTGAGAAAATAATAATTCTCAGCAATAGCACAGCACAAATTCATCTAAAGGCACTGCAGACATTTCAATGGCTCCACACAATAAATGTTCACTTCTCACTCATAGGAAGTCTGCTGCAGATTGAGTGTCCTCAGCTCAGTGATCCAGTGCTCTACACTGCTTCAGTCTCTCCAGGGTGCTCAGCAAAAGATATGATGGGGAACAGTGGTCCGTTCTGAAATACTTTTGTCCAGTCATGGTTGCCTGCCGATTGCCAACTTCAAGGAAGCTGGGGTAATCCTCCCACAGGCCAGCTAGTCTACCACGGGAAGACATGATCCCTAAGTGTTATCTGCTTGGGTTCCTTGTCCACAGTGGGTATAAAGTGTACGTTATTAAGCAGCAGCACGATAGTCCCCCTTGGCTCATCCTCAATCTTTCAGAAGGTCCTGGACCTACAGGCCATGAGAGATGAGGCCCATCACAGAGCTACCTGGATGGCCCACCTAGAGCTACAGAAAGCTCTGAATTTACCACTCTTCTGCTTTTGGTGCAAACAGTTAATGCACTTGGCCCGCCATAAAAGTTGGAGGTTCAAGTCCACCCAGAGGCACCTTGGAAGAAAGGCCTGGAGATCTACTTCTGGAAAATTAGCCATTGAAAACCCTATGGATCATAGTTCTACTCTGACACACATGGGGTCACCACAAAACGGAATCAACTCACTGGCAACTGTTTTCTTTCTTTTTCCTATCCTTTAGATACCACTGTTACTTCCCTACCCAGTGCAAAGCCAAGCCCAGGATTTGATGGGACATGTTTGGGCCTCTAGTTTCATTTGCCTATACATTTGCATAGGAAAAGATCTGGAAGAATCTTTGCAGTGCTTAGTTCTGAGCTGTGTGATTTGATTGTGAAGGAGAAGGTGGTGAGGAAGAGAATTTCCCTTTTCATACATGTGATTTGACTTCTTTTCTAACTTACAATGAGCATGCATTACATCGCATTTCAAATTTATAAAATGAAAAAAGAAAACACTTTCATTTAGAACGTTGACAGAGTTTAACTGGGTGGAGAAATTAAAGGTGAGTTTATTTTCTTATTTGTGCTTTTCTTAGGAATATTTGCTTGAATTTCAACAAGGAACACTTTTTGCAAAAGTTATTTTTAAATGTTGCTAAGAAGAAAAAACAAACAAACCTCAACAGAGTCTGGTTGTTCTGGTTTCCGTGGCCTCCCCACCCTTACCAGGCTGTTGCTGGGCTTTGCATAGGAGTGGCCCTTGCAGCTCACCCTTGCAGGCATAAATCACCAAGAAGCAGAGTCAGCAGGACTGTGGGAGGTCCCCAGAGAAATGCTCAGTGGAGCAGATGAGCTAATGGCCTTGCTGCCGCTGGGTTTGTGTTCTGTTGGAGAAGCTCTCTGGCACCAGGGTCCCGAGAAGCTCCACAAACAGCTCTTCTTCCCCGAAGGCCTGCTTGTTCCCTAATCAGGCCTACTCAAAAAAACCAAACCCATTGCCTTTGAGGCGATTGCAACTCAGAGGGACTCTACAGGACTAAGAACTGCCTCACAGAGTTTCCAAGGCTGTAATCTTTATGGGAGCAGACTGCCACATCTTTCTCCCACCAAGCAGCTGGTGGGTTCGAACGACTCACCTTTTGGTTAGGCGGAGCCTTAACCACTGGGGCACCAGGGCTCCTTTTCAGGCTTACTAGGTGCCTGACGGAAACCCTGGTGGTGTAGTGGTTAAGAGTTCGGCGGCTAACCAAAAGGTCACCAGTTCAAATCCACCAGGTCCCCCTTGGAAACCCTACGGAGCGGTTCTACTCTCTCCTATAAGGTCGCT